TGTGGCGGGCGCCTATAGTCCCAGCTACTTGGAAGGCTGAGGCAAGAGAATCGCGTAAGCTCAAGAGCTGGAGGTTGCGGTGAGCTATGACACGATGGTACTCTACCCAGGGTGACCAAGTGAGACTCTGTCTCTAAAAAAATAAAAAATAAAAAAAGATGAATGAATGGATAGAGAGATAAAATGGATAGAAATATGATGAAGAAGTGTAGTAAAACAATTCTATATGCTAAGTAGTGCATATATATGGGTATTCACCCATAAAACCCTTTGAAATTTTCGGTGGTTTTACATTTTTTATGATTAAAAATGTGGAAAATATTTGGTGAAAGTGTTCATAAATACACTAGCACAGTCATTATACTGAATCACAATTTTTAATGGATGAATCACAAATTGTATACTGTTAGATAAAAATCATAGAAGGACATTGACTTTGACTAAGCTCCTGCAGTAGGACAGACTAAAAATCAAAATGGAGTAAATGGAGTCACCCATGCTAATGTTCCACTTAAAAAATCAGGAGAGAGGCCTGGCGCCCGTAGCACCGTGGTTACAGTGCCAGCCACATATACCGAGGGCAGCCAGCTAAACAACAATGACAACGGCAACAAAGAATAGACGGGCATTGTGGTGGGCACCTGTAATCCCAGCTACTTGGGAGGCAGAGGCAAGAGAAGAAGCAAGAGTTTGAGGTTGCTGTGAGATGTGACTCCATGGCACTCTACCAAGGGCAACAGAGTGAGACTCTGTCTCTCAAAAAAAAAAAAAAAAAAAAAAGAAAAAAATTCAGAAGAGAGGGATAATAGCTCATCTCCCCAACAGGCCAGTTTGAATTTTCAATCCACAGGATAACGACCTTTCCTCTGCTTCAATCTCTACACAAAAACTTACTTCAGGTTACTCTCCCTTCCTTATAAGGAAAATAACTTTCTTTCTGCTTTCTTCAGCCTTTTCTGTTTATAAAAACAACTTCTTCTGGTTAATTTATTGGAACACTTATTCTATTTTATGGAAAGAAGTATTGCCAATTCTAGAATTGCAAACACAGCAAATTAAGATCTTTAAAATTTTGTTTTGATTTTGTCTTTTCACAGCACCTAGGAGGAAGTGAATCATACAACCCTAATATAATAACTGGGTGTTAATTAAAAAGTGTCAGGCTCTGACCCGGGAACGTTTATTTTGTTGTTGTTGTTGTTCTTCTTCTTTTTTTTTTTTTGAGACAGAATCTCAGGTTGTCACCCTCAGTAGAGTGCCATTTAGTCACAGCTCATAGAAACCTCAAACTGGGTTCAAGTGATCCTCTTGCCTTAGTCTCTCGAGTAAGTACCTGAAACTGCCAGCGCCCACATAAAGTCCGGCTATTTTTTTTTTTTTTTTTGTAGAGACAGAGTCTCCCTTTGACGTCCTTGGTAGAGTGCCGTGGGTCACACTGCTCACAGCAACCTCCAACTTCTGGGCTTAGGCAAGTCTCTTGTCTCAGGCTCCTGAGTAGCTGGGACAACAGGTGCCCGCCACAACGTCCAGCTATTTTTTATTGCAGTTTGGCAGGGGCCGAGTTTGAACCCGCTACCCTCGGTATATGGGGCCGACACGCTACTCATTGAGCCACATGCGCCAGCCAGGCCCCGCTGTTTTTAGAGGGAGGGGTGTCTCACTATTGCCCAGGCTGGTTTCCAACTCCGGAGCTCAAGCAATCCACCTGCCTTGGCCTCCCAGAGTGGGAATGTTTATTTTGAAAATTATAAACATTGGGGCCAGAAGCAGTGGCTCACGCCTGTAAATGCTAGCATTTTCGGAGGCGAAGGCAGGTGGATTGCTTGAGCTCACGAGTTCCAGACCAGTCTGAGCAAGAGTGAGATCTGGTCTCTAAAAAAAAAAAGAAGTAGCGGGGCATTGTGCCGGGCCCCTGTAGTCCCAGCTGCTTGGGAGGCTGAGGCGAAAGAATCACTTGAGCCCAAGAGTTTGAGGATGTTGTGTGCTGTGAGCTATGATGCTACAGCACTCTACCGAGGATGACAAAGTGAGACTCTGTCTCAAAAAAAAAAGAAAAAAAAAAAAAAGGCCAGGTGTGGTGGCTCTTGCCTGTAATCCTAGCCCTCTGGGAGACCGAGGCGGGTGGATTGCTTGAGCTCATGAGTTTGAGATCAGCTCTGGCTCTACAGAGCTCTCTACAAAAAATTGAAAAATCGAGGCAAAAGGATTGCTTGAGCCCAAGAATTGAAAGTTGCTGTGAGCTATGATGACGCCGTTGTACTCTACCCAGGACAACAGCTTGAGACTCTGTCTCAAAAAAGAAAAAAAGAATGAAAAAGAAAGAAAATTATAAACATTATTAAATAAATAACTCCATCTGATTTAAAAGAGGACCTTTTATCATCTACATTTTACACTGGAGAAACCAAAGTTTTGAGAGGAAACAAAAGACAGAACTCAGGGCTGAGGAGGCGTTCCAAGCTGAGTTGATTTGAAAATTAACCACTCGAGGATCTCTTGCACTTTCTCGTGCCAGGGACCAGCTATGGTTAAGTACTAGGGGTCTAATTTAAAGCCCATTTCCTTTGGCGGGAAAAAGGACCCACCCAACGCGCAGCTCCTCGGACCCCACGCCATTCTCTCAGGACCCTGCCCCCATTCAGGCCCCGCCCCCGGACAGTGGGCCTTGTAATTCCGCCTTCTATGGAGTGGCCTGGCCCAGCTCAGGTCTCAGCTACACCCCTCGCTCGCGGGAGGGCACTGAACGGTCCGTAGCCAATCGGCGTCCGCAGGTCGATCCCCGCCTTTTTAAGCTCCGCCCTCCGCTCCTTAGTCTTGGCTGCTTTGGCCAAGCAGGCTCAGATCCACGCGGCGCCTCGGGGGAGATTCTATCTCGGGTGGTTAACTACTACCTCTTACAATCCGGAACCACACCACCTTTCATACCTAGGGGACTGGATCTCCCCTTCGGTGCCTAAGAGCCTGGGTCCTCTCTTGCCAGAACTCCGCTTCCCGGCCTCCAGATTTAGGCGACCCAGCCCTCTACTTCCAGGACCTAGGCACCCCGGGTCTCCACCTCCCGGATCCAGTCGTCCCGGATCTGCACCAACAGGACCTCCTGCAAACCCCCGCCACCTGGGCTCACTTAAACCTTCAGGAGGCTAGCTTCACGTCCGAGCCAAGAAATTCCTGTATTCCAAACTCCAAGCTCCCAGAATTTGGGCATCTGGTATCGTAGCCTGGAAGAACAGAGGAGTCCCAGCGCTCGCTTAGGGAACTCAGATACTCTAGCTTCCAAGAGCCAAGGAACTTCGTCGTTGTGAATTCGCAACTCGAAGGAGCTCTCCGAAGTTCCAGCCTCTAGGCGCTGTTACTCAACTCTCAGTCCTAAGGAACGTCGGCGTCCTCTTGAGCCTAAGCACTTCCAATTTTTAGAGGCTAAAGAAACCCAGTGCATCCCATCATGGTGGCCGATCCCCCCAGTGGTGGAGACCCCAAGGGGTTTGCAGAGGCGGAGCCCACCGCGAACGGTGGCTCGACGCTAGTCCCTACGGGGGACAAAGGCGAGGCAGCAGGCGGCTGCTGCCGTTCTCAGGACCAGGTACGCCGCTGCCTTCGAGCCAACCTGCTGGTGCTGCTGACGGTGGTGGCCGTGGTGGCCGGCGTGGTGCTGGGGCTGGCGGTTTCCGGCGCCAGCGGCAAGTTAGCCCTGGGCCCCGAGCACCAGACCGCCTTCGCCTTCCCGGGCGAGCTCCTACTGCGCCTGCTAAAGATGATCATCTTGCCGCTGGTGGTGTGCAGTCTGGTCGGCGGCGCCGCCAGCCTGGACCCAAGCGCTCTGGGCCGCCTGGGTGCCTGGGCGCTGCTCTTTTTCTTGCTCACCACCCTGATGGCGTCGGCGCTCGGAGTGGGCTTGGCACTAGTGCTGAAGCCCGGCGCCGCCTTCGCAGCCATCAATGCCTCGGTCGGGACCACGGACTCTGTTAAACAGACCGCCAGCAAGGAAGTGCTGGATTCCTTCCTGGATCTTGTGAGGTCAGACCCTGCTGCCCTGGAGGTCGGGAAGGGGGTGCGGAAGTGGCCACGTGGACAGGACAGGGCTTTGGGGCCCCTAGAACTGAGACAGCTCCTCTAGAGGCTTAGGAAAACGTACCGGGATAGTGGCGGGGGTAACTTTGGCCTCTTGGGATTTCGAGGATAGACTCCCGGGAACGGGCGCTTCTACATTTGCAGGCCTGGGTACGTAAGTGTGATCTGCCTGGGGGGCAATAGGCAAGGAGGTGGAGGTTTTTTAGAAGGAGAGGAAAATATAATGCTTGCGGGTGTGGGGAAACATGAGGGTCTGTCTGTCCATGGAAGAAGGACCTTATGAGGGGAAGGGCTTCCAAGGGGAACTTTGGGGAAGGGAATCTTTGGGTGACTCAGGGTTCCAGGACTGGGCTTCTAGATATAGATTTGGGGTGAGAGTCAGAGCATTTGAGACCCCTGGGTAAGGAGCCCTTGGGGTTACTGGGAGATCTGAGTAATCCCTACCAGCCTGCCTCCCATCCCCTGGGCTCTCCATGCCACGTGTCACCCGGACATAGCCAGGTTCCTTTATTAGTCCCTTCCCTGCCCAGTTCAGCTGGGGCCTGGCCACTTCCCCTTACATCTTCCAGGTCTGTTTGAGTTCTCCTTAGTAGGCTGTCCAGGAGGGGGCCAGTTATAAAGGGCAGCACCTTTTTTTCCCTTCTGACCTCTGCTCCTGCCCCCAAAGAATGGCCTCCTTTCTCCTTTGAGGAAGGCAGATTGCTGTGTCCATGTGGCCTTGCATGTTAGGGCCTGCTGATTCAGTGTCTCCAGGTGGGGGACTTCCTGGAAGTATGGGGAGGAAATGATGAGTCACGGAACAGGGTTTCCCCAGCTTCAGAGGTGTCAGTGTAGGCTGAGATGGGAGACTAGGGGAGGAGGCTTGGTGGCATCTCCTGGCTGAGAAAGATTAGCTGAGTCCTGGCCCAGATCTGGACTGGCTAAGTGCAGGCAGGCACACCCACTCTAAGGTTGTTTATGAGCACAGGCTTCCCCTGTGTGCCAAACAGCTGTAAGCCACACTTGGCCAGCCACCCAGACTAACTGTAACATCACACAAACATGTGACCATATACTCACTGTGGTACACATACAGCACTGTGCAACAAAACCCCTTTGGCACTCTGGGGATACCACCCAGCCACACCAACACCACAAACACATGCTCAAGAGGGCAATACACACACACCAACACACATCCACTGACGCTGTCCCATACATGTGGACACTAGCCTGCACCCCCAACAAGATAGCAGCATCTGATGAACTGTACACAGACCTGACACAGGTATACACCTAATATCTCTGAGAGGGAGGAGGCAGAGTGGTCAGGACTAGGAAGCCAGCTGGCTGGGTTTGAATCCCAGCTTTGGCATTTGTTAGCTGGGCATATTTCTTCACTCTTTTGGGCCTCGGTTTCCTTTTCTATAAAATGGGGTAATAGTGCCTATCCCCAGGGTTGGTGGAAGGATTTCCACAGTAGATGCTATAGATGGGTTAGTTCCTATTTTCATCTCATAGCAGACACCATCACACAAGAGTGGCTGTGTAAACACAGATGCACATTCATGAGACACACAATGGACACTTGTCACCCTCTCTTATCTCCTCTCACCGCCACCTCCCCCCCCCAGATCTCCCCATACCCTCAGACCCACTTGCTAGCCCCCCAGGGGATCAGTCTTTTTCTCAGCACTCCAGGAGGAAGTGGCTGATGCAAGCCACTCAGGGTATTAAGTTTGCAGCATGGGGTGGAGCTATAGCCTGGAATGACCTGCCTTGGCCTGCCTCTGGAGGCCAGCATTCCTCTCCCCCAACCCACAATCCCCTGGGTCTTGCACACCATTCTCCTGGGCTGGAGGAAGCCGGCTCAGACTCCCCACTCCCTGAAAAATTGTGCAAGCTCAGGTCAGACTCTGCCTGGCTGAGGCATGAGAAGGGGCTGCATTTGGGCACAAATGGGGCCTCTAAGTTTCCTCCCATCCTCTCTAAAGAGGCCAGCCCTGTTTCCCAGACAACTTTGTCCTTCCCCAACAGTGTCTAATAACCCCCTATATGTCTATCTCTGCAGAAATATCTTCCCTTCCAACCTGGTGTCTGCAGCCTTCCGCTCAGTGAGTCCTTGGGGGTGTCCAAAGGGGTGGAGGGTGCACAGGGAGGGAGACAGATAGTCAGAGCCCTTGTCACCTGATTTTAGGTGGTGCCTGGAAAAATGTACATGCCCACATGTTCCAGGCATTATGGGAGGGTTCTTGGGTAGCCTCTGAATTCATCCCTGCTCTTCCTATTCAAGAAATGAGAATATGGGTTCAAAGTCTCCTGTGGGTTTTAACTCTAGCTATGTGACTGTGGGCAAGTGCATTTACCTTTCTGAGCCTTGGTTTCCCTCTGTGGAAAATGAAGCTATTAATTGTTCTGCCCCAGTGGGGATGCCAGTAAGTGAAATGAGACCAGGTTTAAGGGATGCTTAGGGCAGGCTTTGAGCATTTTTAGCTTCAGAATGGGGTGTAGGGGCCTTGATGACACCTGACACTGACGCTTTCCAACCCTACCCTGCAGTACTCTACTACCTCCTACAGAACGATCAATGGGACCACACTCAATGGAACCACTGTGAAGGTGAGGGCAGAGGAGGCGGGCGCCCCTTAGATCATTAGTGGCCCTTTTCAGTTCTGTTATTGCTCCAGTCTTAGTCTGGTATGGAATTTGATTTAAATTCTCTGCAATTGTCTCTCGATTTCTGTCTCTTCTGCCTTCTGGATGCATCTTCTCTTTGTTCCCTTTCTTTTCCTCGCCATGGCTCCACCTTGTTCCAGTCTCCTCCTTCCCCCTTTATTCCCTTCACCCTTTCCAGACCCTCCTGTGCTGCCCCCAGCCTGCCCACTCCCACCCACCCTCAACTTGGCAACCAGAGGAGTCTTTCTAAAGCTCAAATCTGACCCTGCCTCTCCACTGCCTGAAACCCTGCTGTGAACCCCACTGTCCTCAGGAGGAAGTGTGGGCTCCTTGCCACCATCCATGACCAAGGTATACCCCTTAGGTCAGACCCCTGCCTGTCTGCCCAGCCTCATCTTTGGACATTTCCCTGCTGTTCATTCCACTCTTCTTTCCATTTATTTATTTATTTTCTGAGACAGAGTCTCAAGTTGTTGCCTTGAGTAGAGGGCCATGGTGTCATAGCTCACAGCAACCTCCAACTCTTGGGCTCAAGCGAGTCTCTTGCCTCAGCTTCCCAAGTAGCTGGGACCACAGGCGCCCGCCACAACACCTGGCTATTTTTTGGTTGCAGCCATCATTGTTGTTTGGTGGGCCCGGGCTGGATTCAAACCTGCCACCTTAGCCTCTTGAGCCACAGGCACCAAGCCCTTTCCATTTCTTGAACACCCAAGTTTCACCTGCCCCTAGGCTGCTGCACATTCTGCTTTCTGTCTCTAAAACCTACTGCCCGTGCTTACCTGGTTCACTTCTCCCTGAACCTGTCTCTCCTGTCCAAATCTCAACTCAGGTTCCCTTCCTCCTGAAAGCCCTCCATGACCCCCCCCCCACAACCCAAGCGGGCACCCCTTTCTCCTGGGCTCCCCCTTTCCAGTCTTGCCCACTCTGGGTCATCCCTGGGGATAAGTGTATTTCCTCTGGACTTGGATTGTATGTGGTGGGAGGAAGGGCCCCCCTGGGGGGCTGTCTTGTCTTTGCTGGATCCCAGCAGTGTCCAGAGTAGGCCCTCAATGAGTGTTGCAGGTTGATTGAGTATCCCTACCACCCCTGTCTGTCTCTTGCCCAAAGATTCCGGTTGGGGAGGAGGTGGAGGGCATGAACATCTTGGGCTTGGTGGTGTTTGCCATCATCTTTGGTGTGGCCCTGCGGAAGCTGGGGCCTGAGGGGGAGCTGCTCATTCGCTTCTTCAACTCCTTCAACGAGGCCACCATGGTGCTGGTCTCCTGGATCATGTGGTAAGTGGTGGGAGAGGAGGTGGGGTAGTGGTTGGCCAGAGACATCTTGGGTGTGTCTGAGTGAGGTGGGGGGAATCCTACATCCATTCTCTGGATCCAGATTTCATTTAAATCCAGTATTAACCATTCCCTGGCTTTGTGACTTTAGGCAAGTGGCTTACCATCTCTGTACCTCAGTTTCCTTGTCTATAAAATGGGGACAATGCTGTATTCCATTCTAAGACTGATGCTGGCATCTTCTCAAGCTCACTGGAAAGTGACAAGACAACCAAGCTCAGTGCCTCAATTTCAGTGATTTAAATGTAATCAAATGCTCCCCTTTAACTGATCTAAAACAGTGCTTACTTCATAGGTCATGATGAAGATTACATGAGTGACTGAGGCAGAGCACTTAGAAAGTGCTTTACATGTCTGACATGTAGTGAGCATTCACTTAACTTTTTGTTTGTTTGTTTCTTTTGAGAAAGAGTCTTACTCTGTCACCCTGGGTTGAGTGCCATGGCATCACAGCTTACAGCAACCTCAAACTCCTGGGCTTAAGCAATCCTCCTGCCTCAGCCTCCCTAGTAGCTGGGAATACATGTGTGTACCACACCTGGCTAGTTTTTTCTATTTTTAGTAGAGACAAGATCTTGCTCTTGCTCAGGCTGGTCTGGAACTCCTGAGCTCAAGTGATCCCCCTGCCTCAGCCTCCCAGAGTGCTAGGATTACAGGTGTGAGCCACCTTACCCATCTGCATTCACTTAATGTTATCTGTGATTGTTAGCATTAAGAATTTTGTTAAATGACTCCAATTAGTGAGAAAAAAAAATGTGCAAAGGCTGCTGCTTCCCCCAGCTCTCTTCTCCCCTCCTAGTGTCCACATGGTCCCACTCTAATTCTTAGGTCCTGCCCTGGATTTAGAAGGTCAGAAATCAGTAGAGAGGCTGGGGTTGCTGCTTCCAGTGCTAACATTATGAAGCTTCTCTGCCTCCTGACTACTCATGGAGTGAAAGCACTTTTCAGGGGAGGACCTCTTGTGCCTCAGTTTCCCCAGCTGAAAAGTGGGGTTAACAGCAGCAGGCACAGAGAGTTAATAAATGTAGAGGTCTTGGCATAGTGCCCAGCCTATATAACATGCCTATGGTAAATAATAACAGCTAATATTTGTTGAGCACTTTGCTTGTATAACTTCTGGGCACATCCCATTTGGACTGAACTTGGGCATCTGGCCACATCTGGCTGCAACAAGTGGCTGAGAAATGGTGCCTTTCTTCTGTGACTAATAAGAAGGATTTGGGATGCAACTAGCTGTAGCACTCAGTCAGTCAGGGAGGCCTCCAGACTGGGAGGTGAGGGTGCACTTTCGATCTTTACTGCAGGAGAGTTTGATAATCCACCTGGAGTTTATAGGTCACTTATTATGAACAAAAAGCTTTCAGCTGATTTCAGCTGGCATCTCATCCTCCCACCATTCCTGTGAGGTTGGTAGCATTAGTCCCTGTTTTACAGACCTATTTGATGTTGTTTAATCTGCAATGACTCAGGAGCTCCCTCATGGGGTTGCTGGGAGGATTCAGTCAGCTCAAGAGCTCAGCATATCAAAAATGCTTCCTTCTTCTGGGAGCCACAGCCTTTACAGTTTTCATGAAGTGCTGAAAGTGTCAGTTCAAACTTGCTGCTATAACAAACAAACTCAGAAAATTAAATGACTCACATTTGATGGGTGCTGCTTTTTCACTCACATGTCCAAAATCTGGTGGCTGTGCTCCTCACACAGTGGTAAAAGCACTGAAGCCTCCTTTATCTATTATCTTCAAGGGGAAAGGAGCCCTGGGGTGCACAGGGAGGCTGGGTCTGGGAGAGGTACCCATAACAAAGCACTCATTGCTGGGGCTCCTGACCATAGGGAGACTGGCACATATGGTCAGGGTGTGAGACACCGTGCCTGGCCACTGGACTTGTGGTCAGTGGTAGCAAGCTGTCTCCTGTGTGGTTAGGTACGCCCCTGTGGGCATCATGTTCCTGGTGGCCAGCAAGATTGTGGAGATGGATGACGTGGGGATACTCTTCACCAGTCTGGGCAAGTATATCCTCTGCTGCCTGCTGGGCCATGCCATCCACGGGTTCCTGGTACTGCCCCTCATCTACTTCCTCTTCACCCGAAAGAACCCCTACCACTTCCTGTGGGGCATCATGACGCCGCTAGCCACCGCCTTTGGGACCTCATCCAGGTGCGGCCTTGGGGCAGACCACGGCAGGATAATTAAGCTAAGGGGCATGCAGTGGCACTAGGTGTCTGAAGACCCCTGAAATTTTGCTTTGGGGGCATTAGATCCGAGTACAGGGGCCATAATTTTATGAGTGTCTCATAAGGTCCTGGATTCCACACTCCCTTAATAGAAATTAAGAAATCATTGCCTTAGAGAGCTCTTCCTCCCTGACAGTGCTCTACCCCTACTCCCCATCACTTCCTCCCCGCCAAGACCTGGCCCTGCAGGGCTCCAGTGCTCAGCTCTGGATCCAACCGCAGAACTCTTTCCACTTTCTCTCTCCTGTTTTCATTCATTGCTGCTGGTGCTGCCCGCTCAGAACCAGACCCTCCAGCTGGATAGCAATTCTTAGTCTATTATTGGTGGAGACTGGGAAGGGATGTGGGGGACCAATGAACACTCAGACACTGTAGAATTTGGGTGTGAATTTTTGTGAATATTTTGAGGAGCAGCAGGCTGTACTCTTCAGGGGTCCTGGAATTTTGTGAGATCCCTAGTGCCGCCTGGTTGTGGGAAGAGAAATGGTGTAGAGAGCTGTGGGTGGGGCCTGGATGGGTTGGGCGGGGTCTGGGTCGGAGGGTGGAGCTTGGGCCGGGGGGAGGGCTGGAGCCACTGCAGGGCGTGGCCTGAGGATAAAGGCAGGGCCCAGGCCTGGCTGCTAGATGGGCTGCCTCTGATCTAAAGTCCCTTGCAGTTCCGCAACGCTGCCGCTGATGATGAAGTGCGTGGAGGAGAATAATGGCGTGAGCAAGCACATCAGCCGCTTTATTCTGCCCATCGGCGCCACTGTCAACATGGACGGCGCGGCCCTCTTCCAGTGTGTGGCTGCAGTGTTCATTGCCCAGATCAACCTGCAACCCCTGGACTTTGTGAAGATTATCACTATTCTGTGAGTGACAGGCGGCTGTGAGTGAGATCCCCAGGCCCAACTTGACCCCCATCTTTTCTCACTACATTGTGGTTGACCTGACCTCCTCTCTCCTCCTCTAGGGTTACTGCCACAGCATCCAGTGTGGGGGCAGCAGGCATCCCTGCTGGAGGTGTCCTCACTCTGGCCATCATTCTCGAAGCAGTCAACCTCCCTGTCAAGGAAATCTCTTTGATTCTGGCAGTGGATTGGCTAGTGTGAGTATGGGCTTGGGGGTTCAGGGACCCCATGGGTACCCCTGGGAAAGGGAATAATTGCAAGTCATTAAGACTTGCTGTCTCAAAAAAAAAAAAAAA